AGGACCCCCAGACATCCCCACCACCATGGCAGGGACAGGACCCCCAAAAATTCCTGCTGTCATGGCAGGGACAGGATCCCCAGAAATTCCCATCATGGCAGGGACAGGACCCCCCAAATATTCCCACCATGGCAGGGACAGGACCCCCAAAAATTCCCACCATGGCAGGGACAGGACCCCCCAAATATTCCCACCACCATGGCAGGGACAGCTCCCACTGCCCCTGGCTGCTCAAACCCCAGTGTCCATCCCCAGTGTCCAGTCCCAATGTCCAACCCCAGTGTCCATCCCCAATGTCCATCTCCAGTGTCCATCCCCAGTGTCCCAGTGTCCATCCCCAGTGTCCCAGTGTCCATCCCCAATGTCCATCCCCAGTGTCCAGTCCCAATGTCCATCCCCAGTGTCCCAGTGTCCATCCCCAGTGTCCATCCCCAATGTCCATCCCCGGTGTCCATCCCCAGTGTCCCAGTGTCCATCCTGGCACACTCCCAGCCATGGAGCACCCAGGGCTCCCCAGGGCTCCCGTGCCAGGCCACACCACACCGTGAGCCCAGGATTTCCATCCCCACCCTCATCCCTGCAGCACAAACCTCGGCTCCTGCCCCTTCCCTCCTCAGCCTCAAACCACCAGCAGCACAAACTCCGGGCTTTGGAGCCTCTCTCTCCCTCAAACACCTGCCTTTTGTGTCCCACTCCAACCATTTACCAGGCAAAAGGGAAGCTTTGTTTAAATAAGACATTTTCCTGCTCAGAATTTTTCCTGAAATGCCTCATTGGGATGTCTTGATGTCCCTGGACTCGTCAGAAGCCAATAAACTGCTTTTCCTGCTCTTTGGTGCTAAGCTACAGTTTGTTGTAAAGTTTTAAACAAAACCTTTGCCCTCTGAGCTATTATTTGATTTTATTTTTTCTCACAAGTTCCACCTGCAAAAGATCCCACTGTAAATACTCAAATGTCAGAATCAGCACTACTGTATTATGGATTCATTCCTTTAGATATGAAATCATCCAAAAAAGGCGCTAGAGGATTTCTGAATCCATTCTTCATTTTTGGATCGCTGCTTATTTTCTGTTTTACTCTTTCCTCTCCCAAAGTAAATGTTTCTCCTGGTGAAAGATTGCCAGATGGAGCTCTGAGCCCCCCCTGGGCTGGAGCAGATTTGTTGGGGTAATGTTTTTAATCCCCTGCCTCTCCTCCCTGCTGTCCCCAGCCTGGGCACAAACGCTCTGCAGGCAGGACCCAGGAAAAGGAAGGTTCTGGAAGGATTTGACAGGGATGGGAGGGATCCAGAGATGTCCAGAGACCTCTCCAAGAGCTCTGCCAGCCGTGGATGTGGAGAAACATCTGCCTGAGCAAAGGGAAAGGGCTCCTGAGCGAGGCTCTGGAATCTGCAGGGCCACCTTCCCCCTGCCAGCAGCCCTGGCTCTGGTGGTGAGCACAGGGCACACCTTTCCTGGGCAGCTGCGTGGGCTGCAGCAGATAAACAGCAGCAATTCCTCAGCCCAGGGCTTTGTTCAGTGCAAGGAATCTTCTGAGCAGCCCAGCTCGTGTGCTGGAGGGGATAAAGTCACTGGCTGGAGTAAGGGATTGCTTGTCTATGAAAATGATGTAACCCTGGGACTCAGCCCAGCTCCTTCCCAGGCTCCAAAGCAAACAGATCTGCCCTTCAGTTATTTTTCATCTGGCTTCACTTTTTTATCTTGATCAGAGGGTGAATTAAGGCACTGAGTCTGAAACCTGCTGCCCTTTCTCCAGGAAGGAGAAGGAGGTACAAACTGCTATCAAAGCAGCTCCTCCTTGCAGCTCTCAGGATTATCCCACGGTCAGAGGCTCCTGCGTGCTCACCAAGCTCCTCTTGACCACCCACACGTGTTGCCTGCACGGCTTTGAGTATTTCTCCAGCCCGAGGAGGAACTGTGTTTGGTCTGGGGGCTCTGCTGGTTGCTGTGGGATGCTCTGCTGAGCCCTGGGTCTCTCATTGCCAGGGTGTGCCTGTGGCTGGCAGCGTGTCAGGGCTGCAGATCAGCTCTGGGATGGCTCTGGAGCTGCCCTGGGGGCCTGCCAGGGACACAGAGCAGAGCCCAGAGCTCCTGGGAGCCCCTGGGCTGGGTGACCTGGTCCCCTACAGCACAGGGATGAATTGGGCAGTCAGGGAAAAGCTGCCCTGGAGCCTCTGCCCAGCAGGGCTGGAGCTCCCAAAGCCCCCACAACAGGGCCTGGGGCTGCCAGCAGCAGCTCTGAGCGGGTTTTGCTGCCAGGGCTCCTCCAGCTCTGCTTCCCAAATCCAGGACCAAATCCAGAGCTGTCCCGGACACCTCGGACAGCCCAGGCTCAGCACTGGGGATTCTGCAGCCTGCTGCAAAGGAGCTGTGTGGAACCCCAGCAATGCCCATGAGGACTCCCCAAACCCCTCTTATCCCCAGTGCACTGGGAACACTGGGAGCACTGGGAGAGACCCCGGGGTGTGCAGGCACCTGCAGAGCTCAGCCCTGAAACCACAGCAGCCAAACCCCCCCAGCTGCTCCAAAAACAACCTTGTGCTATTTCTGAACTGCTCCCAAACCAATCCTGTGCTGCTTCTGGGCTCTGCCCACCCTCAGTGCCCAGGGAAGGGTACTTGGAGGGGGTGCTTTGCTCTGGGGGTACCTTGTCTCCTGGCTGGGGACGCATCACGGACACGCGGTCGTAGCCCTTTCGCAGCAGCACCCAGAGGGCGTCCAGCTTCCCCTGCAAGGAGAGCAGACACGGGGTTTGTTATTTTCTGGGCCAAGAGCAGTGCCCAGACCCTACAGGAGCTGCCCCATCGCTTCCAGTGCCTGTAGGAGGTGCTGGAGAAGGTTTTCTCTCGCAGACACTCGCTGTGAACTCGCTGCAAGAGCAAAGGAGGAGCGCTCAGAGCTGCCAGGTGAGAGTGTCTGACCTTTCCAAAGGTGCTGTGTGACTCTGACACCTTCTGGGCCCACAGAGACACCAAAACCAGCTCCAAAACATGCAATCAGTGCAGGGAGCAGGGAGCTCCTGCAAAGCCTTCCCAAACTGTGTGGGGTGTTTGGGAGCTCTTTTGTGGTGTCTCACTAAAAATTCCCTTTCATGGGGGCAGAGTTCTTCTCTTCCCTTTCCAAGGAACCACCAAAATCCTCTCTGGGATCTCCATTCCCCCACCAGGCTGTCCAGCCAAGGCTTCAAAGCTTATTTTGGAGTTGCAGGGACACATGGGTGGAGGCAGACACGTAAAATGACTGCATGGAACTTGTTTCCGTAGCAGAAGGTGAGAGCCAGGAAAGTCTGTGACTCTGAAAAGAAGAGGCAAGAAGCTTCTCAGTCAGATTCTTCTGCATTTGGGCAGTGGAACCCCTCAGACCTGAGGGAAAACATCCCCTCTATTTCAATCCATCTTTCCCCTGCAGCAGAGCTGGTTGAAGCTCTTGATCTCCTGTCCACCCTGACAGCTTAAGAAATAAATACCTTTTTCTTCCATTTCTCCTTTAGGAAACATGACAACTTTCCATGGAACAACAAAAAAAAAAAAAAAAAAAAATTTCCCTTTTACTCTGCTGTCCTAATTTCCCAGAGCCTACCATGGTTTCTTGGGAAAAGCCAAGAGCTCCATCTTTGGGAGCCCCTGCTCTGCCTGAGAGCTGGGTGGGAGACAGGGAGTGTGCATCATGGAAAGGATGATGGCTGCAGAAACCAGATGGCAGCGGTTTCACTTGGAAACAGAAACCCTCCTGCTCTCCATGGACAGGCCGTGCCTCTGTCTGGACTCCTGCACAGCTGGAGCACCAGGTCACTTGGAGGGAAAAAAAAGAGAGGTCTGAAGGCAAATAAAGCCTGGAGCCCTGCTAGATCTGAAACCCAGAGAGAAGAAACAGTCAGGGAAACAAATGAAGGGGTTCCAGCCACGGAATTTCCTCTGAATTCACGGTAAACTCAGCTCTGCATTGGCCCTGAGTCACCTCAGAGCTCCTGAGACCTGCTGGTGGCACTTTTGGGGTCACCCCAGTGCTCCTGAGACCTGCTGGTGGCACTTTTGGAGTTACTTTTTTTTTTCCAGGGGGAAAGAGAGAAGGTGCTGGACCAGGTTTTCCAGGAGGCTCAGGTTTCTGGATCCTCTGGAAAACACCTGGGCTCCCCTGAGCGTCGCTGCCATTCCCAGCCCTGGATCTGGGGCAGCTGCAGGGTCAGGGAGCGAGGAGAGCCCAGGCACGAGGCTGCTCCTGGCTCCTGGGGCACCACCTGGAGCAGCAAAACCTCTGTTTTCCTCCAGAGAACGAGCACATCCTCATTCCCCAGCAGCACAACTCCAAACCTGCCCAGGTGAGGAGCTCCTGGTGCCCCACACGGCTCCTCCCCAGGCACAGCCACTCCAGCAGCGCTTGGGCTTTGTGGACAGATCCATCACAAGAAGAAGATCTGCAGTGCCCCCGGGCAGGGCTGGGCTCACCTTGATGGGGGAGTACCACTTGCGAGGGGACGAGGGCCGGCGCATGCTGCTCCCGAGGTTCCTGGGCTCGGGGAATTCGTATTCCTGCTCTGGCATCTTCACCCTGGCGTTCTTGGCCTTCTCCAGCTTGGCACCTTCCTCGGTGGAGCCCTTTTCTCCCCAGCGCACCTGGGAGGAGGGATCAGGATCACACACCAGGAGCCCCCGTGCTTCCCCAGCATCCAGAGCCAAGCTGAGGAGCAATGCACAGGCTCTGAGCTTTGTTCCCACGCTGCAGCCCAAAGTCTGAACTTCTCCTTCCTGGTGTTTGTGAGAAATGTGGGAGTGGGGAAGATTTTCAGGAAAACTCAAACAATTTCCTTGTAATTGTATGGCAGTGCTGCCCTGTGTCCCAGGCAGGGACCAGGATGCTGGTGCACTAGAGGACAAAGATGGTCCCAAACTTCAGAAATCTTTGGCTCTCAAATGTTCCCATACAAAAATGGCCTGGACTCAGATGCACCAAAAAAGCCTGGAGAGGTTTGTGCATCACAAAAACCTGGAGAGGTTTGTGCATCAAAAACCCCTGAGAGGTTTTTGGCTGTGTCCTGGGTGGGCTGCAGGGGGAAGCCCCTGAGCCCTGGGATTTCCTCACCTCCATCCGTTTGATGCCGCCCACTCCTCGCCCGCCGTAGTAAGAGGCATCCACTGTTGGCCACTTCTTCTTTGGCAGCCCATCATCATCTTCCTCCTGCAAAACAGCACCAAGGGGTGGCACAGGATGGAGGCAATCAGCGCTCCCAGGCTCTGCTGGACAGGCCAGGTTCTGCTCCCTCTCCTGTTGTTTTCCAGAGCATGGACACTCGTGAAAGGAAAATGTTTGCTGATATAAACACCACCACCACTTGAAAGGTACAGGCAGCTCCAGCAAGAATGAGAATTTGGGATTTTTCACCCCTTCCCTTCAGCTGGGGCCGTGCAGAGGCTGCTCGTGGCTCCCTGGGCTCTCCAGGGCCCAGGAAAATCCCCAGATCGGAGTTCAGGTCTCACAGGATGCAGAGAAAGAGCAAGAAAAGGAGTGAATTCTCTCCTGAGCGACAGCAAACTTGGGGTACCTTTGGGGACAGCGCCAGTGGCAGTGCCCAGCTTGATTGAGAAGAGCTGCCCAAGAGGAATTGGATGGAAAAGCCTCATGGAAAAGTCACAAGAATGGAATTAATTTCATTATTATTGAATATGGGCAGCTGCCCATGGGAGTCCCTGTGGCTTCAGGGAGCCAGAGAGAGCCAGGCCCTGTGTGAAAAATGAGATTTAAATTCTGTATCCTGCCCTTGCTTGCTGCAGCCACATCCCCAGGCACAGAGCTGAACGTGCTCAGCACCTCATGGTGACATCCAGATCAAGAAAATGCCCTTCAGTTTATTTAAAATGAACTAAAAAAAAAGCTCTAGTGCTAAAGCTCGAGTGAAATTCAAGGTATTTTAAATTTTCTGTTGCGCTTTGTAAGGTCAGAGCAAACACAGAGCTCTTAGAGCTCCTTTCCCTTTAATTTCTGCAGTTCAGGCTGTGAACTGGCGAAGCAGAAAAGCAGAGTTCATCAAAAACGTGAAGTATTTCCTGTGAAAAACGTGGAGAGAAAAGAAAAATGGTCCCTCTCTCATTTTTCTTCTTCTTTCTCTAATTTTTCACAGGGATTTGGCTGAACTCCAAAACTTAAGAGCTTTCCAAAACTGGAAAAGCCAAAAATACTTTGAAATTGAAACTCCCCATCAGGAAAACTGAAAAAAAACCCCAAAAAAACAAGAAAAAAATCCAGTTTTAACAGCAACCAAAAGCATTTCAGTTTATCAAAACACAGAAACTGGGCTGCAAAATGTGTCCTGACCTAAGGGAAGGGTGAATAATTGGTCACAACTACCAGGTTCTTCTCTTCAGAGCTGATCTCTTCTCTCTGGCCCCAGGCAGAGCTGCAACCCAAGAACTCAAATATCTCTGCATGAAGTTTTCCATGAGGAATTTTTTATATTTAAAAAAAAAAAAAAAAGTGGGGGGAAGCAAAGCCATCTAAATATTTTCCTTCAGCAATTCTCTTTCTCTTCAGTTCAGCACAGACTGGACTTCTCACAACAGGAAATACCAAGGTTTAGGAAATCTTCCCCAAAAGCCCTGTGAGTCCCCTTGCTGGGAGCCAGGACGAGAGCACACGCACACAGAGAGGCTCAGGGACACTCAAAAAACAAAAGAGTCACAAGTTTTCTGCAGAATGAGCCTGTTTGTGTGCTTGGAAGGGCAGGGAGGTTTTGCAATAAAAGCAAAAAGCCCCCAGCAGTGATGTCCTGCTCTTGGCTGATGTGATCACGACACACGTGGGGAAATGGGAAGGGAGAGGCACCCAAATCCCACACCCAGCACCCAAATCCCACACCCAGCACCCAAATCCCACACCCAGCACCCAGATCCCACATCCAGCACCCAAATCCTATACCCAGCACCCAAATCCCACATCCAGCACCCCAAGTGTCACACAGGGAATGGGAAGAGGCACCCAGATCCCACACCCAGCACCCCAAGTGTCACACAGGGATGAATTTTCATTCCCTGCCTGCTTCACCTGCATTTTTCCACAACGGGGCTCGCACCTGAGGAGCTCCAGCTCTGCAGGGTCAAAAACAGCCCTGGAAAATCCAAGTGCATTTAAGGATGCTGGAAACTGACTGTGCAGAACGTGGCAAATTTCCACCCCCAAAATCTGCTTTAGATGGAGCTAGAGTTGCTTTGAACAAGTCAGAAGAGGCAGGACAGAGCTGCATTTCACAGTCAGGGATCCAGATCCGTAAGTGCTGGATTGCAGAAAACAAAGATCTGTGTTTATCTCAGAGGTCTGGCCAGGCTCTGGATACTTTGACCCTGACCTGAGGGAACCTCATCTGTGGGTAACACAAGGATAATTTAGGCTCCACAAGGGACATCTGAACCACTCAGGGTAAGAATTCAAACTCAATTTGGCCAGATATTAAAAAAAAAAATCATTTTGGACAACTTCCCCCTCTCCCCACCCTTATAATTATTTTCCCAGTTGTCTCTGAATTTTGTCAGAATTCAGCATTTATAGAAACTTCTGCCTGCACCGAGGGCTGAGCTGTGACATGATAATCATTTCTCTGTGTGAGAGATGTCAGATTTCAGTGCTGAGAGAGCAGAGGCAAATCCAGCTGTCCTCAAGGCTCCTTTCTACCCCTTCCCCCAAATCCCAAATTCCCCAAATCCCATGGCCACCTCTCTGCTTTGGGACACTTTGGGGACACCTTGCTGCTCTCAGGGAACGTTTCCTCCTGCTGGGGAAGATTTTGCTCCCCAGAATCTTCTCTGCCTTAACTTCAGCTTCGTACGAGCTCAGCCTTGAGACACAAATATTTCTCAAACCAGCCTCGATCCTCACAGAAAGTCCCCGTTTATCCTGGCCCGGATTCTTGGAGGTCCTGCCTGAGGTGAAGCCCCCCAAGAGCAAAGTGTGTGCACAGCTAAGAGGAGCCCTGGTTCTGGTGAAAGAAGGATTTGAACTGTTCCCACAAGGTGAAGTTCCTATCAGGTGATGGGAATCAACACCAGGATGGGATTAAACCCAAACCCCACAGCCACTGCCTGGATATTTCACATGAAATTGGCTCTGAAAATGAAATTTGCCTATAAAACTCCACACCTCCATGGTGTAATACCTGCCCCTCATCCACTGCCAGTAACAGCCCCACCTTTCTTCTTTGAAATGCCTCTCTCAGGCATTTAAAGGTTCCTTTTCTCCTGCTCCCACATTCCCACAGCTCCCCGTAAAAAGGGAGTACAGGGAAGGAGAAGCACTGGCAAACCACTGGGACCTGGCTTCATTTTAGGAATTGATTTCCTGCCTTGGTGTCTACAGAAATTCCAGTCAGATCCTTTCTCTGGAGCCTGTTTTGCCATCTCCCCAGCACAGCTTTCCAAGAGGAGCAAGGGAAACAATTTGGAAAAGGATAATGAGCAGCAGTAATTAAACAACTGGGGTTAGTGGAAGGTGTCCCTGGCCATGGCAGGGGGTGGGACAGAATGGCTTGGACTGGGAGATGATTCTGTGATAAGAAATGAGGGTCCAAGCAGCTCTCCAAGCAGCTGGATATCCTTCAGTCATTCTCAGTCCTCGTGGATGTTGTGGAGAGATGAGATCCCAACAATCGCTGCAGATCCAGCTGAACACGGGGCTCTGCCCTTGGCTGCCTGCAGGGAGTGAAGTCCCAGGACGGTGCTGAGGCCCCTGAGGGGCTGCAGAACGTCCCTTTGTCCCCAGCACGTCCCTGGGAGTGTTTGCTGGGCTGTGTTTGTGGCTCAGAGGACACCAGACATCAGAATTATCCCATTACAGGCTGCTCCGTGGCTCGGCTCCGGTGCCGCATCTGGGATCTCCGTGGATGTTGGGTGACAGAGCAGGAGGGGAAAAAAGGGGCTGAGAGATGAGGAAAGGGCAAGATGTGGGCATGTGCTTGATGTCCTGCCTGGCTTTGGCAGACTCCAGGGAGCTTTGTGTCCCTGGATTGTGGGACCTGCACAGATCCAGCCCTGGGTCCAGTCTGTCCAGGACTGACAGCAGCACAATTCTGGGCCAGGGAGTGAATAAGGAATTGCTGGGAGCTGCAGAGCCTTGCAGCTGGGGTTTTTTGGTGTATTTTGAGGCTGGGTTGCTGCAGCAGAACCAGCCTCAGCCTTGTGGTGAGCCTCTGCTCTGAGCTGGGCAGAGCTGTTCAAATGAACCCAGCCTAAAGGTGATGGGACACAGGAATAAAAGCAGCTGCATCTTCCTGCAGAAGGGTTAGAAAAAGCCTTCCTGTTCACTGGAGGTAGGAGAATGTGGTTTTGATCCACCTTCAGTGAGTAATCACAGGCCAGAGAGGTGCTCTGGCTCCTCCAGGCTCTCACCTCTTCCGCTTGGCGTGAGCTCAACCCTTCCTGGCCTAAGTGAAACCATCTGTCCTTGCCTGGGCTTCACCCTCAGCATCCCCGAGCAGCACAGGGGGAGCTGACAACATTCCCAATTTCTGCATGAATTCATTGGCAGTTTCTGGCCAGCAATGATTTCCTTCACCAGCAGTGAAGAGCCTCCAGGGTGTCTCGAAGGGCCTCTGAGACAGAGTTCAGTAAAACCCTTGGCGGGTGCGATGGCAGAGGCTGCTTCCCCCTCGTTGTTGGAGTGTAATAATTCATTCTCCTTCCTCCTGTGGGCTTCAGCTCCCAAACCTGCTGATGCAAGAATTCCTCATCTTTTTTTTTCCTTTTTTTTTTTTTAGTGGCCAAGAATTTGATGAGATGAGAAGAAAAAAAATCCAACTGTGACCCTGCTGCCGAAGGGACATCACAGGAAGGAAGAATGATGTATTTTAATTAATTTCAGCAATTGAATCCCTTGGCTTGGAGGCGTGTGTGATGCAGAACAAGGCATGTGCAATTTGAGGTTAATATTTCCCTTTTCATTCAGAGGACAGAAGCTGACAGAGCTGGTGGATTTTCACCCAGCCTAAACAAATGGGAAATGGGCCAGGAGCCTGCAGAGAGAGGCTCAGGGGGCTCTGGGCCCACGTGCAGACCCCCCTTGGGTCTGGGAATGGTCTGGAGTTTGCTTCAGGCCTGGTTTGAAGTGCCCCAAGGTGGCCTCGGGTCCCACAGCCCTGGACAGAGCCAAGGCTGGAGCTCTGCTCCTTGCAGATCCCTGAGCTTTCCTGAGCCTTGACTCAGCCCACGCTCCCTGGGCCAGGCTTCATGGAGAGTGCAGAGCAGCATTTCAGCTGCTTTTCCACTTGCAAGCTGAAGCAGGCAATGAATTTCTCTCCAGAAACAGAAAACAAGGCAAACCACCCAACCAAATCACCCTGAGCACAGACCTAAGGCTGATTTGAGTTGCACATCGAAGGGGAACCCATCCAAACCTCAGTGCAGCCAGTGGAAAATCTCCCAGTGCCATCAGAGGGGCCTGCACAGAGCCCAGGGATGCAGTGAAACCCCAGGGAGCAGGGCAGGGACTCACGGCATGCTGAGAGCACAGATGGAAAACTGGGCACGTTTCTGGGAACAGTCTGCTCAGGAACGGGGGCAGAACTTTAACCACTTTTGGCAAGACTCACCTAAAACTTGCAAGGAGAGTTAAGAGGGAAGCTTTAATGTTGATTTAGTCTCCGTTAGAACTTCCCTGGCTTGTGCAGCTCCACTGATGTCCAGGGGATTTTGCTGGGATCCTCAGACAAGGAGCAGGAGCTTCCTCTTCTCCCATCAACTGTGCTGCAAGGGCTCAGCGCTGGGAGCTCCCAGCAGGACTGGTTTTACATCCCAAACCACCAAAAGCATCACTGTGCCATTCCAGGGGGGCATTCAGCACATGCTGAGGTTCCAATAACTCCAATTAAACCCAGGCTGAAGGGCTGTCCCTTGTGTGAAGCACAGCCTGAGCTGTGATTAAAACTCACAGATTTAATCACCTTTTGTGAGGAGACTGAACAAAACATCGTCCTAAACACCCAGGAGACCAGGGCTCAGTGGCACTCACCTCGCTGTCTTCTGCAGGAGGTGGGGGAGGCTCCTTGATGATCTGGAAGGATTAAAGAGAAAGAGAACCATGAATTCAGGCTTTGCTCTTTAGCACGACTCAAAGAGAACCATAAATTCAGGCTTTTTAGCACGACTCAGATGCCACCAGGAAGAATCCAAAGGAGAAAACAAGAGGATGTGCTGCTGGCACACCTCTGTGGAATCACGGGGTGGCTCTGAGGATGGGCAGGGGGTGTCCCAAAGCCCACGGAGACGTTCCTAAAGACAGCTCCACACTCACATTGCTCTTTGGGTGCCCCGTGTGAGGCAACAGAAAATTCACACTCTGATATCCCTGACTCTCCTAATCCCTGAAGCTGCCACAGTCAGTGGCTGGCTCTGAGCATTGATGCTTCTCCTGAACCACCTCAGGAAAATCAGCATCTCCTTCCCCTGCCCTCTGCACACTTGTACAAATCCTGCCTCAAATAATTCAGTCTGAACAAAGGCTGGGAAGCAAAAGGAAGGTGAAGCAAAATGCCCTGGGGACATTGCAGAGCAGTGATAACCCCCAACCTGTGTCCCAGACTGTTCTTTATTCATTCCAGAAGGCTCTGCCACCTCATACTCTTCTGTGCTTTTCATTTGTCAGGTTAATGTAGCTCACTGTCATAAACTTTAAACACATAAATATATATACACATATATGGCTGAGTGAGGTTTCTAATAAAGAACCAGGGTGAGGTTGCAGCCTGGCCCAGGATACTCTCCATGGAAACCATTTCAGTTTCTGTGGGTGTGAGGCCATTATTTCATGCAGAAAGTTTGCATCCAGGGCTTGGCAGGCTGCTGGCTGCTAGCAGAGCCCTGCATCCAAGAGCAACAGAGAGGTTTCCAAGGGGAGGGCAGAGCCACCAGGCACGTCCCACCCTGTCCCTCACCCCTGGCATGGGCTGGGAAATGCCCCAGGATGGGTTTGGGTCCATCTGGAGCAGGCAGAGCTCTCTGTGCACCCCAGGCCATGGGGCAGGGGCTGGCAGAGCACCAGTGCAGGTGACACTGAGTGTCCTGAGCTCTGCTCAGAGCTGGGGGGCAGAGGCTGACACACGTGTGGGCTTCAAAATCACCCTAAAAACACCCAAAAAAACCCCCAACAACAACAATCAAAAAAATCCCCCCAAAACAAAACAACAACAGAAACCACCCCCCAAAACACCAATCCCAAACAGCAACAACTTGGCTGTTTAAATGCAGAAAGGGAAAATTGCAATCACATTAAAGGCCCTGAAGATATAAATATTTACAGCAATTCCTCTCACTCGTGTTTTTCCTCCTGTGATGAGCTCACTGTTTTTATTTTCCTCTGCAAAGCCCGAGTCATGCAATGTGGCCATTAACGAGGAGCATGTGCCTCTGGCTGGGGAGGAGACAGGGCTGGAGCTCTTGTGTCCCATAGAAACAATAAAAAATATGAAAATGATGAAAAGTAGATGAGAAGTGGGTGATAGGTGCCCAGGGAGGTTTGGAGTCCCCATCCCTGGAGGTGGCATTCAGTGCCCTGGGTGACAAAGTGGGGACTGGCTGAACTTGGTGATCTCAAATGTCTTTTACAACCTAAGTAACTCTGGGATTCTGTGGAAAGTGGATGAAAAGTTGTCTGCATGCCAGTAGGAAAGGAAAGCCTGGATATCAGCATCCTCAGAGGTGTCAGATGGAGACAGCACCATCTCCTCCATGTCCCTTGACACGATCAGCACTGACAGAGGGTGCAACTCACCAAAAGACACAGGACACCTTCTCACATTAATCTTGTTCAGTCTGATGGGCAGCATTTGTCAACAGATCTCCTTTTGAACCAAATCCCTGAGCATTGAACCCATCAGGCACTGTGAAACTTCAGATATCTGATCCAAAATGTACCTGCTGGGACCTCCTAGTTCCCCCCTGGAGCATCCCCTGCTGCAGGGGAAGGAACATCACGGGTTCCAGGGGAGTTTCATTTACATTGGAATGAAACATCAGAATAAACCATCCGAATTTGGTCCAGCTAAGCATCCAAACTTCTCAGCCAGGATCACTGGAGGTTACACACCTGGAGGTGAGGAGATGGCTGTATTCCATACATCTGCATTCCTTCCCATATTCACACACAAACTGACTGACTGCTGTAAACAGATCAAGTGTTTTCTATCACAGGCAAAGAGGGGGAAAAAAAAGACATTCCTTCCATTTTTGAGTGCTTTGCACTTCTAAGAGCAACTGAGCTCCCAGTAAATTGGCAGCATGGATTGGTTAATTTGGACAAGTCTAGAGATGGGGGAGTTCAATCTCCAGTGCCTTTGAGCCTGTACGACCTTTCAAAGTTCAAGTCTTACAAAAAAAAAATCTCATTTCTGACTCGCTGCCCAGGCCTTCAAACAACACAAATCTTTTCCTTCTCCCTTTTGGATTCTTACTGCTACAGCTCTGTGTGCATGAAATCCTCACTCTGGGGCAGCCTAACCCTGAGACCCTCATTTGGGACACCCAGACTCATTTTGGGGACACTCAGACCCTCACTGGGGACACCCAGACCCTCATTTGGGACACCCAGACCCTCATTTTGGGCACCCAGACTCATTTTGGGGACACCCAGACCCTCATTTTAGGGACACCCAGACCGTTTCTCTGAGTGGTAGCCCAGGGCAAGGCCGAGGGCCCAGGCCCACAGGCCCCACGCACTTGGCACAACCAGAAACAACCCAAAAGATGGAAAAACGCCATCAAAAACGCCATCCCAGGGCCCTGTGAGGTCACACCCACACGGACACCTGGTTGTGGCCATCCAGGTGAGCCCCAGGAGCTGCTGAAGGAGCAGCTGGGAGCGGGCCAGGCCCAGCACGCGGCGAGCTCGGCCTGGCGAGGCCGCGGTGTTTGGTCACAAGCGTTTGGGTGACCCCAAACCCTCCCTGGGCTCCTCTCCCTGTGTTTGGGACAAGCAGAACACGATGCTTCAGCCTCGGTTTGCTCTCCAGGTGGGGAACACCTGAGGGGCTCCGCACAAAAACCTGGCGAGGCTCTTTTGTTCCTAAGGGTGAAGGTGGGGAGAGACGGCCCCTGGCTTTCCTTGGCAAAAGAAGGAGCTTGGAGAGCAGCTGTCAGCATTTCCACACACTCAGCTGTGAAAATTCGGGACAGTGAAGTAATTCTTTGCCTTTCAGCACCGTTCCCAACACGCCTGTGAAGGACAGGTCTCTGTTAGCTGAGCCACTTCGTGCCTCAGGCCCATGGAGGAGCAGCTGTTTCTGATGGATAACCCAGTGGAAAAGCAGAGGAATTCTATCAGCCACCTCCTGGAAGGTTAAAAACATTGGGAGGGATAAATTTTCTGTTGCCCTGAAATTTCTGTAGCCAGTCAGGCATAAGAAAGCACACGCTGAATCCAAATTTTGCATATTCCAGGAATGTGTCTAGGATGTTTTCTGTCTTGGGAGCCCAGAAATCTCCAGCAATCACACAGCAACTATCCTTGGAGTTTTCCATGATAAATAGGGGCAATATGTTTCTTGTCAGAGGAGCTATCTGCTTTAGGATGGGACAGATCATCATTTCAAATGAAGCAAACAGATCATCATTTCAAATGAAGCAAACAGTACAAAATAAGAAACAAAGGACTTTGCCTCTAATTGGGATTACAAGTTTGGAAGCATGCTGTTAACTGAGCAGATTATTTTTGTCCTTAATTACCTTCATTCTTCTGGAAAACACCGAATATATATTCTTGCTCTCTTAATAAACAAGGATTTTTCATAGCATTAACTATGATCCATCTGACTAATTTCCTATTTTTTTTCCCGTTACATATTTATAGTTTTGACCTCTCAGTCCTGTGACTGTTTCATATTTGAGGTATGAGCTGGGTAAAGGAACATTTCCTTTTTTTTTTTGTCATATCTTCTGTGTCTTCTCAGTATCCATTAAATCCTCGGGGATCTGCTCTACACCCCAAAGCTAACACGAGCAGGGGCTTGTCCCAATTTCTTTGCCTGCAATAAAATGCAATCTTCTTCTCAGGGATTCAAGTAAGAGGTAAAGGAAGTCCAATGGAAAGTTAACTCATCCTTTTAAGTTCACCTCTTTTGTCAGCCTGGGAGGAGATTCAGGAAGCTCAATTTTAACAGATTAAAAGTGCAAGAAAAGGCCTCTTCACCCCAAAGATTTGGAGGTGAACTGTACAAACCAACTTCAACACAGGATCATAGTAAATGTCAAAATCATCCACTTCAGAAAGACAGGACGTCATGGAGAGAAAAATCATTCTCTTAATTGTTTATATTTAATCATCTTAATTCATCCTGGTGCAGTCTGGGGCTGGCATGCAGCTCTGCAGGGAATGCAGGCAGCAATGCAGTGTCTGCACAGGTGGTTCCCCTTTCCTGAGCTGCTCCACTCACACAGATAAAGCAGCCCAGAAGCCCTGGGGTGTGCTCCAAGCATCTGACCCACTTTCTTGGCAAGACCACAGAGATGAAATCCCTTTTCTGGGCAAAGGAAAAGCATCGTGGCCACTTTGAGCTGTGCACAGGAGCCCTCACTCACAGATTTCTGCTGAATTTTCTGCTTACATGATCCTGTTCTCCCTTCTCAGCACAAGTGCAGAAGAGCTGTGCTCACGGGAGTGGGTGGGAATGGGATCTTGGTAAGGAATCTCCATCCTGCCATTTTATAGCTCTTCAGGGTTGTTCAGAGCCTATGCATTCCCTCCCCTTCTCTTCCACCAGTTCAGCCATGTGGTTTTAATCTATATTTTCTGCATTTTCTCCATCCAGCTCTTTGTTTCCAAAACTTCTGGTCAGCTGCAGTACAGACTGAGAGCCAAACAGATTGCTGGGTTCTTCCATGCTTACTTCCAGAAAACAGCTTTAAAGTTAAAACTGCTGTTAGGTGCTCATAGCAACACCTCATTTATCTGCCAGCCACACCCCTGCATCTAAAATCACTCCAGTATGAAAATGAGTGAGGTGGAGAAGATTTTCTAGTGGGCAAACAACCCAGCCCAGCCTCTCAGCCACCCTGGATGGCTGCAGAGGGGAGGCAGAGACTCAAACCTGGGAGGAGGTGATGGATGAGCAGCACCCCAGCGAGGGAGACCATCCCAGCACAGCCAGACCTTCCAGCTATTTCATTAATTCTGCCTTCACTCTGCATCCAAACCCTTGAAGCAGCTCCATTTCCAAGCCAATCTAACAAGGTGCCTGCTAAGTCCTCCTCAAGACACTTTTGGGGGTTTATTTCCTCTACATTAAACCTGAGGCTCATGTTGGCCTCAGATTTTTTTTTAATTGTTTACCCAGAACAATTTCAGGCCTGGGCAGCTGAGCATCCTCCTGCACACACAGCTCCTGCTGTGGATGTCTGGGATGGGAAGAGAAGCAGTGACTGGGGGAAGGTAGGAGCTGGAATGTGCTCAGCTCAGGAAAGGTGGGGTCACACCCCTTTGGAGGTGTCTGTGTCCTTGTTTTCCTTCTTGCCATCATTCTTGTTGTGAGTGCAGTGCTGGGGAGTTCACACAGCAGAATTGCTTCTTTGTTCTCTGCTATTCAATAAACCTACAGCCTTTGGAGAGGTTAGTGCCTGCCTCCCATGCTTTTGTAATATCCTCCACAGGTATCCAGGGAAATTTCTGCCTGTGCTGGTGTATCAGGCACAGCAAAGAGTTATTATTGCTCTGATTCACTAAGCAACAATTGCCTCTACTGTAAACCCAGTGGTAAATTCCAGACTTCATCCCAGAATACTTCTGAGACCAATAAAGCTGGATACATTTGGAAACAGCATTCCTTCATGGGCTCATGCCAAGGAGATACTGGGTTCCAGATAAACCTTCAGAGTGAGTCTGTTGACTCCAGTCCATTTACTCCAGGGATGAAGCTGGCTCAGTGTCTTTCCTGAAGAACTGCTGGATAGTAATGACTCTTATTTAATTAAAAAGCATGCCAAGAGGAATTTCAGGGTTTAGAAATGTGCTTGTCACTCAGAAACAAATTTATTCTTGGTGGGAGAAGAGTTTGTTGTGTTTTTTTTTCCTTTTTCCCCTGGACACATCCACAATTATCTCTGAGACGTCCCTGGGCTGGAATCCACGGCGATGTCTCCGGGTCTGTGGTTTGGTTATTCGAGGTTGGAGCTCTGGGCTGTTGTGCAAGGCAGCTCCTCTGCCCTTAATTCACTTCTGACAACACTGAATTCCTCCCTGTGCCACTTCCAGAGCAGCCACAAAGCTCTGCTGGGCTCCCTTTCCCCATCCCCTGACAGGCTGGGCTCCCCTCCATGGTTTTATCCTTAATTTCACAGAATTTTTGCAGTGCACAGTGAGGCTCTGCTGGGCTCCCTTTCCCCATCCCCTGACAGGCTGGGCTCCCCTCCACGGGTTTATCTTGAATTTCACAGAATTTTTGCAGTGCACAGTGAGGCATCCTGGCTGCTGATCCTCTGCCAAACACACCGGGTGCCCTTCTGGGGAGGTGGAAGAGATTTCATACTCCTATGAAATTTCAATGATTTTATTCCAAGATTTCATATTCATCTTGGAATAAAAATCTTTCCAACAGCTACAGGGAAGTGTTTGACTACACTGGAAAAATATCAGAGAGACAGTCCCCACTTGCAGACCTTGCTAGGAGGGAATGTGGGAGGTAAAGGAGGAGAGTGAGGAAAACTTTTATCTACAACAAATGTTTTTAAGTGGAGGATTTAAATCTGGAAATGATTAAGCTTATAAAGTTTCATGTGGAACAGAGACTCCCTCTCTCTGCTGCACCCACCTTGCTTATCTGGGCTGTTTTTCACACCCAGGGTTTTACACCACCACTGTCCTCACACGATTCCAGTGCCACAGTGCCCTCACAACAGCTCCACATCCCCTCCACGCCCTGCTGCTTGCATTTATTAATGCTTTTTTCTCATCAGCTTCATGTCCCTGCTCTCACAGAACCTGAAACCAGCAGCACCACTGACAGCATTTTCCCTTCATCCCCTCAATTCTCCTCCAGGTCCCAGTGCAAACATCTGCACAGGGCACATCTCCTCTGACTTCCATCGAGATGTGCCAACAAAAAGTTGGCCCAGCTCCTCTGGGGATGTGCCATCTAGTTTAGACAAATAACTCTGAGCAACCCACCACGCTGCTAATCCCTTGGCCAATTTTAGAACCAATTTTTTTCATTGTTCTGAAAGTCCAAATAAATATTTTTTTTCCATTCTGGTTTTCATTTTGGGACAGAGGTGCCAAACTACTGTGAAGAGAAGCATTTAATCCCCATTTTCAGCCAGGAACAGAAATAGACAATTAAGATTTTTCCTGCAAGATTTCCATCCTTGTTCTGGATAACGAGTCTGAGCACAGAGACTCATCCTGCAGCAAGTGGAGCTCCAAAGCTCTCTGCTCTGCACTGGGGATTTTTCTCTCTGCCCTTTTAAAGAATTAACTCTGCTGAACTTTTGTGAAAGGACCTGGAGGAAAGACGATGCTCAGTGAAGCACAGTCGGACTTCCACTGTCACTGGGATGTTCCAAACGCTTTTCAGACACGGTGATCCAGGAAACACAGCTCATCTTGTGAAAATTTGGACTCCTAGAAATGTCTTCTCCTTGTTTCTGAGGCAGAACCAGGACTGCAGCATGGGCTGATCAACCCTGCCCTTCTACAGGAGCCCTCCAGCGTTAGAAAATCCAGAACAGCCATGGCAGGAATACATTTCAGCAAACTATTTCCATTTTGTGACCAAAACACGAGACTAACAGGCTCCTGACGAGGTTTGGGTGTTGGCAACACTGCTGTTCCACGGGTCTAACCCAGATGAAACAGAAACCCAAAGCAGTGACAGAAATTCTGCTCCTTTCTGGGACGAGTCCCGTGGAAAACTCTGCCTCCTTCCCCCTCGTTTCTGCTCAGCACCGAAATTCTGCTCTGTGCTGCTGATTTCTGTCACTTACCACGGTGCAGCAGAGGGGCCAGAACCACCAGAGCAGAGCCAAGGCCAGCAGGAGGAAGAGGATGAGCAGGGCGATGGCCAGGATGGTCCCGTCGGACTGGAGGAGAACAGAGAGCGAGTGACACCCGTGTCACCCTCCCCAGCTCTGTCCCCAAGGCCCCTCTCTATTGACTGACACCTTAGTGATGGTTATTAATGCCATTTAATTTTCATTTTTCATTTCATTTTCAGGCAAAAACAAGCCTTCAGTGAAAGGTCATTGTTTTTTACCACCAGGCTAAAAAACCTCGCTTGATTTTCTGACTTTCTCCACATTTAAAGGTCAAATCAATTCACTGTTGATTAACACAAAGGTGAAAATTCCTTCATTCTTTCAAAGTGCCACAGGAGAGAGCGGGGACAGCCGGCTGTGCTGAGGCTGTGGAGTCCCCAGAGCCTCCCAGGGCTCCCAAACCTCTCAGCTGGCACTGGCAGAGCTCGGGGGCTGTTCCCACCCCAAACACCTCAGCCAACATCCCAAACCATTTATTGGGATTATTGGATCTGGTGACATCCCCTGCTCTCCCACCGGGAAGAGCTCTGCAGTTTTGGGTCTGAGAGCCACCAGAGCAAGAGGTCATGAGTGGTTTTTCCTCTTCTGGGAGCATTTTAGGGGATGAACAAAAGCTTATTTCAATTCCCATCCTGGCTTTGCTCCGAGATGCTCTTACTTGGCCCTGCCTTCCTGTCCCCAAACACGGCCTTGGCAATTCTCCCCTCCCTTGGACATTCCCTGGAGCCTGAGGCATCCACTGGAGGCTGAAGGGCTTGGGCACACCTGGCACAGGTGACAGGGAAATGTCACCTTGCCACACGCTCAGACCTTCGAGGGGTAACTGCTGCTGCTGGAACACACACACTGCTGTGTTAAATCCCAACAGGAGCATCTCAGGACATCACAACTCACACAGTGCGTGCTGGAGATGATGACAGAGCTGGAGATGAAGCTCAGCCCATCGTTCATGCTGACTTGAAGAGCTGCTTCCCTGGAAAAAGCCAAGAAGGAAATCAGGGCAGCTCATGCACCGCTGGTAGCCGGGGTCTCAGAAATCGGGATAATTCCCTGCCTGTCCCCCTGCTCCAGAGCACAGCTGCTGCTGGACACGAGAGAACGGCAGCTCAGGACCCCAGAATGATCCACAGAACCGTGGGGAGACCCACACCCATCTCCCCACAGGCAGATTTTGAATTTTGGGGCAGGAAAAACGTACATGCCGACTTCTCTCAGCACGGGCGCCGGGCACAGCAGGTAGGTGTCCTCCACCACGAAAGGCTTCTCATCTGGAAAGGGGAAATAATGTCATTCACTGCCAAATCAGTCACACAGGCCCTAAGGAACAAGTTTAAACAATGGTTTTGCTCACTCCTGGGATATAAATGAGGTGGGGATGAAGAGCTGCCCCACGTGTCGGAGGCACAGCAGAGCTGGAGGTGTGGAGATCTTTGGAAGGTCAGAGCAGAGGTTCAGCCCAGGTGAAACAGACACATCCAAGGTAAGAAAGTTGTATATTGCAGAAAATTTTGCATTTTAAGGCAGAAGTTAAACCTTTTTAACTGAATTACACTGGTTTCAAAAGCGAGTGAGAGGAGCAGGAGCACTGCTATTCCTGCTCTGTGCACCTGAGTGAGAGCTTTGTGCCACCACTGGGGGATCCCCAGGAACTGCCCAGCCCGTTTCCCAGCTGACATTTCCAGCTGTGCTGCCACATCTGGCCCCACCGTGCTGTTCTCACCCTGATTTACAGCAATATCATGAACTCCTATGAATTTATGACATCGTCTCAGCACACACACACGCCGAGAAAACGAAGATCAGCCTCTTGTTTTCTCCTTTGCTAACTCTGGCAGCCAAAGGCTCCTCTGTGCCAGCGTTCACTAGAACAAAAGCTGCTTCATCTTACAAGGCCTTTGACTCAGATCTGGTCAGCTTTTTGTTTCTCTTTCTCTCCCAAGTCCCATCTCTCTAGAAAGTTTATCAGGCCGGGGTGCCCCGGGGGAGCTCCAGGCTGGCTGCAGGCACGGATTAGTTTGTTTGGAGAATGTTTGTGTTTCACCACAAAAATGAGCCACTCTTTCCCTCTGCTCTAAACAAAAGAGCATCCATTTGGTTTGCATAACTCTGGCTGAAGGCTCCCCAGCTCCACATCTCGTGCCAGGGGTTGGATTTTGTGCTTTGCACTGCTGGAAGGGCTGGGGAGGGAGGGCAGAGCGCTCAGGGCTTTGCTGCCCTGGGTGTCCTTTTGGTTCTGGGCTCCTTGGGTGCCCCTTCGAGCAGGTCCCTGGTGCTGCTCAGGCTCCAGCAATTCCATGCTCAGAGCTCCTGCACCTGAAGAGCTCAGTGCAGCCTGGAAAATCTATTATTCCCTGCAAAAGTGAATGATTTCTTATGCCATTAGCAGGGTGTAACCTTCTGGCAAGCCAGGACTTGGAATATTTCCTAACCATAATCATAAAAGCTTCGATATATGCAGGATGCTTTAACACAAAAGCACAAGCCCCTCAAAAAAAACCCCCAGAAAGCAAAGAGGATCTCACAAGAAAAGCACTGTGCTGCCAGGAGGAAAGAAAGGTGGGGGAAGTGGAGCAATCTGGCAGGATTTAAAAACAGGAGACGATTTTTAGGAGATGTTTTTTGGGCAGTCTGGGGATCCAGTGCCCCCCTGCATCCCCCAGTGCTGATCCCCTGCTCTGTCCTGCTCCCATATTTGTCTGGATAAAGCAAATCCAGGCAGGTTTGTGCAGAGGATGGGTTTGGCCAAGCATGTAGAGCATTCACTGGAGTGCAGCAGATCCAGCCCAGCTCTGCTGTGGTGCCTGCTCCTCCACCAGCTTTTGATCTCTCCATTCAGCTTTCAATTGCTGAGGACAGAGCTCAGCCTCTCTGCCCAGAGCTATCTCTGCTGGCTCCTGCACAGCCTGGGCAGACTCAGACATTTTAGCACCACAGATCAGTCATAAGTCACTGCACTGGATAATTACTTTTAACTCTGAGCAAGCTGAACCCAATTCTCCCAGGTCCTGCTGCAGAACATGCATCTGATTACAGCTCTGCTCAGCCAAATATTCCTCATGGTTTCTACAGATGTTCCTCTTTTTTTTTAAATCCCATAACTATGAACATTATGAGTCGAAGCTCTCTTCACCTGCCACTTTTCCCTGCCAATAATCCCAATAAAACCCCATTAGCTCATGCCTTTAACCTCAGCACGTCCTAGCCGTGCTCGCTGCATCTCATGTGGGATAATTGAAGGTTTCAGGAACTGCTGGCTTAGTGTTATCTTTAAAAATGCCTCTCTCCCTGATACAATCACAGGCAGAGAAGCAAACAAAGACAGCTGAGCTTTCCAACCTCCATGAGGTTTCCATAAAATCCTGGTTCATTTCTCTCAGGGAGAGAGTTTTTGGGAGCAGCAGGCAGGGGCTGCAGGCTCTGGGATGTCCCACAGAGCAGCTCAAGCCCAGCAGAGCTGTTCCCACCTGGGTTTGGGAACTGCTGGGCTCCCTCACTCAGGGAGGGGCTGAACACAGAATTTGGGTTTGTGGCCTTTTCCTGCCACGCCACAACTCCAGCTGAGAGCAGGAGAGGAGCTGGTGCCGTGGCAGGGAGGGTGAGCTCAGTGCTCACCTCTGCAGCAATTCTGGACACCACAAATCCATGGCTCAGAGGGCCTGGACCTCATTCTCCACATCCTTTCTGTGGACACAGCTTCAAACTCAAAAAGCCCAGGGGCTGTGTTAGGATAATCTGATCTTTCCTGAAGGCTACAGTGGGATTGTGATGGCAGACACCATAAAAAATGGCTGGGCTGGAGCTGCAGCGAGCACAGAGGGAGGAAGGATTCCTCCTCCTCCTCCTCCTCCTCAGCAGGTCAGTGTTTGGGGTGAGGACACCCTCACACAGCATTCCCTGTGTCTGTGCCTGCCCAAAGCAGACCCTGGGCAGGGGGAGCTGAGGGATGGCATTCCCAAATTCCTCAGGATGCTTCCAGGAATGAGTGCCCTGAGCCCTCCAGCTCCTGCCACCCCCAGCACTGGCCACATCTGAATTTAGTGCGCCAGGGCCAGCCAAGGTTTCTGCTGGGTGACGCAGGAATTGGCGAGAGCAGAGGGTTTCCTCCTGCAGGAGGCCACTGCAGGAGCACAGGAGTCCCACAGCTGCCCCAGGGCTCGCTGACATCCCAGCCAGGGCACCCAGCCCCAGCAAACCCCCCCAGCTGCACAGAACAGCTCAGCCAGGGGCTCTGAGCACACTGAGCCCTTGCATCTCCACTTTGCAGAGCTAATTCATGTGTTTATTTCATCCTGAACAGGCTCAGGGCTGCCTGCAATGCAATATCTGGATATCAGTGCTGGGAAGGATGTATTGTGGATTGAACTGTGAATTATCTGGGTTCCCACAAGGCTCAGAGGAAAGCAGTGAGGTTCTCAGTGCTGCCAGCCCAGGGGATCTCAGTGCACATCACAGACCTGACTTAACACAATTTTCTTCTCTTCCCTGGGTGTTTCCACCCCCCTCAAACTCACTCACGCTCTGTCAGTCACACAATCCGCCTCTTAAAAAACAAATCCCTTCTGCATCCTGCAAACTGAGAGCTGCCCATCCCACAGGCACCGTGTTTCAAGATGCAGATCCCTGCCAGGGCAGAGAGGAAATAAAGGGAATTCGAGGAGCTCTTACTGAGGGTGACGGTGTCGTTGATCCTGAAGCTGCAGAGCACCCTGTCCACGTTGCGGGCGTGCCGAAATCCATTTCCCCTCACCACCACCTGGAAGGACTCTGCCAAAACAGCCTCTGGGTTATTATTGAAGCACAGGAACTCAGGGAGTTCGACTTTTCGACTGCTAGAGTTGGTGGTTTCACCATTAAGTTTAAAAATGTAATTTCCACGCTCTTCCCTACTCAATTTCAACTTGAATTTTGAGGAGTTTAGGAATTGTTTAGGAAATAATTCACCACGGACACGCTTTAAAACAAGGCTGCAGTGGAAACATGAGGCTCCAAGGGCACTGAGCTTTGCACTCTCCAAGTGTCCATTTTAAATGGCAGAAAGGTTTGGGTGAAAAAAGGCAAAAAACCTTCCAGATAATTTGGAGAAGTTCAAGTGTTGCTTTCCCAGGTAACTGCAAAGGAAGCAGCCCCAATTCCTGTGAGTGCCTGGGAGAGGCACTCAGAGCACAGAATGGTCCAAGACAAAGCAGGAGGAACCTCATTGTCACCCCAGGAGTGACAAAACCTCGTTTTTGCAGATCCAGGTCTTTGCATTTTACAGCCCCATCCTCTCTCCTCTCCCCCGAGGACCAGCACACTGGACTTGTCAAGAAAAGCAGATTTGCTCTGGAATCTGGGCTCCCCTCCAGGCCCCTCTGGTTTTCAGCCAAGCTGTAAATCATCCCAGCACATGCAGGGGAGCTGCTCCAGCCCTGCTGTGTGTGGGGAACAGCTTTTGGGGACAGCACCAGAGCTCCGTGCTGGGAATAGTCCCGGGAAATCACAGAGTTCTCAGGCTCAGGTCATTAGTGAATCCCCAGCAATTAGACATGAACTGAAAATTGTGTTTTAGGCAACATGAAGAGCTCAGACTTACCCCCTGCACAGATACTGGAAGGTTCTGCTGCCAGGATTTCTATACAGGACTTCTTCAAAATCTAAGAGACAAAAAGTGAAGCACCTCAGCCTGGTTTCCATAGAAACAGAGATGTGACAGGTGAGTGAGCACAGGTTTCAGATAAACACTGAACTCATCAGAGCACCTGGGGCACAATTACAGCCCTTGCCTTTAATTATAAATAATATAAAATATTACTTATAATATTTATATAAATATAAATTATATTTATATAAATATATAATTATATATAATATATTATATTATTATATATATAATTATATATAATTTATATATTAATATAATATATAATATAAATATATACAATGTATATATAATGTAAATATATATAATGTAAATATATATAATGTAAACATATATAATGTAAACATATATAATAGAATATATAAATTATGTATAATTATATATAATTTATATATTTATATATAATGTAAATATATATAATATAAATATATAGCATAATACATAATTTATATATAATTATATTATAGTTTATATATTCATATTTATATAAAATATAATATATAGTAAAATATATAATATATATTTTATATATAATTATATTATAATTTTATATTTATATAAATTATAAATATTTATATAAATATATATTTTTTATTTATAATATTTATTATTAATAATATAAATAAAGGAGGGCAGGTGTGGCTGCCCCCCTTGATCTGTTGTTGGTTGGAAGGTGAGGGGTGCCAGGGTCAGGGGTGCCAAGGTGAAAGGTGCCAGGGTCAGGGGTGCCAGGGTCAGGGGTGCCCTGGGTTCTGCAGCCCATGAACTGAAATTCTCCACCATCTGCAGCCCCCTCCAGGGGCTGTGGAGGCACCATCCCCCTCCTCCCTTTGCAGCCACACCTCCCTCTCCAAACTCGCTCAGGACCAACGCTCCAAAGCAAACATCACAAGTTTAATCTAAACTGTTTAACTTTGCACTAAAACATCCCACAAGTTCCCAGAGCCGCTCCTCAACTTCTGTTTTTAACCTGATTTATTCGAGCTCACCTGAGGGCATCCCCAAGGCTGCTCTGCCACTCCAGACCAAATTTTATTCTGTTTAAGCCAGGCTTAACCACAGCTGAGTCTTTGGGAGGGCTGGCCCTGGCTTGCAGCCCTTTTTCGCAGTGATTTACACAAAAACTTGGGCTCAGGCTTGGCTGAGCCCTCCAGGCAGAGGCTGGGGCTGGACACTCTTTATTCCCTGATGGTGCTGGAGCTCCTCGGGCTGTTCCTGCTCCTGTCCTCCAGCCCCAGCTCCTCCAGGGCTGGCTCAGAGCCTGGGGCAGAGACTTTGGGGGGCTCAGCCCCAGCCCCAGCCCCAGGCAGCACTGACCAAACTTCAGCCCAGCTCCAAGAGGAGAGCAAATATCAGCCAAGCATCGCTCGATGGCTCAAGCCCAACATGAGAACTCTTTTCCCAACTTTAAATTGAAACATCTGTAAGGAAAGAACAGCGACCAATACAATAAACCCTGGAAGAAAAAAGATAACTTTGGTTTTTTTTTTCTCCTCTTCTCCACAGTCACAGCTCCCTGCCTCAAATACCTAATTGCAAAAGCTACTCACAGAGCCAGGCTTTGTTTTTTAAAGCATTTAAACAGAAGTTTGAGTTATTCAGAAAGGAAGGCTGAAAGTACCAAGTATTGAAGGAGGCAGGATGGTCTGAGCTGGTGGCAGGCTGACAGGTGAGGAGAGAGATTTGCAGGAACAAGGTTTTACAGGAACTGTCAAGTGGAAAAAAAAGAGAAAGTCAACAGCTGAGAACAGAACTGAGAAGCAGGAGAAGAATTTAAATTAGACACAATAAGGAAAAACACAGAGAATGTAAAATACAATCAGGACTTTTTTTCATGGAGCAGAGCCTAACATGGTTAAATTTGAGATTAATGACCCCTCCTCAGCTATTGCAAACACTCCTGCTGTGGGGCAGCTCGGAGGGGGAATAGCAGGTGTCTCAATTAGATGATGCAGATCTCCCAGTCCAGTCAAATCCCTTTACATGACTGTAAAAAACTGCCCCTAAACACTTCTACCGTGCCAATTGCAATATTTATTTTGATTTCGATTAAGTTTCTCCAAGCACACACCCTTACTTAAAGTGAACATCAGGCAGGATTACTGCAAAAGGCAGAACATCTGCAAAAAAGGAAAAATCCTTTATGTCTCTTCCTCATTAAAAAATGCAATCAGAAAATGATCCAGTGTCTTCATTTTAGATTTAACGGGGTCTGGAATTTTCTGGGTGCACAGCCTTGGTGGGCTGCAGGTGCAGCTCATCCTCGTGGTCTGGTTTCCCAGGAAATCAAATCCCCTGGAAGGCTGGAGGTGCCTGACTCATTCACCTTCCCCAGGTGAGGCCCAGGAGGTCACTGGGCCCTTCTGGACACCCAGGGAAGAAAGGGAGAGAAATTCTGCAGCTTCTGGAAGCTTCCACTCGATCTCGTGCTCACACAGCCAGCTCCCTCCACCACAGCAGTGCTCCTTCCACATTCCTTCCACCAAATCTGGGAATTCTAATTAGCAAACAGGATGCTGAAGTGTAATAAATAGAATGTTGCTGCCTAATTAGCGACCTGCAGTCTGATGCCAGGTGCTCATTAGCGAGCTCTGTCCAATTACTGAATGCCAGAGCTTGGTGCCAATTACAAAAAAGCCATTTATTTATGAAGTGTTTCCTGTCCAATAATATCTACATGAGCTAAGTTGAAGAAAAAATATATTTAAGTGCTTTTTAAAATGCATTTGGGGGAAGAAGGAAGTGGAAAGCGGATCATACACCATTAAAATTAACGAGGAACGCTGCCCAGCTCAGGCTGGGGGTTATCAGCTGATAAACACCTTCCCTGGCCAGCGTGGAGTTTGGTCTGGAATGAACTTTCTGTCATCCCTGTCAGAAATCAGACCTGGAGGGATGAAGCCTTTCTGCATTTCATACAGAATTCACTCTGCTCACCCATCACCATCGCCTGCAGCTCCCAGAGCCCTGCTCAGGGTTAGCTCTGAGATAAACTCCAAGCTGGTGCTTGCTTTAAAACAAATCAAGGATCAGGGAGTTCTCCTGTCCCAGGAGCTGCTCCTCAGCCAGCTCCTGGTACAGCCAGGTGAGGATCCCATCCTGACTTCCACATCCCTTCGTGATCCTCCAGCACTCCTACCAAACCCATACTGGGCAGGAGATGAAGCTGAATTTCAGGTTTTCTTCTAAGCCTTGCTTCATTTGCTTTAAATTTAATTTAATTTAAAATCAGCAGAAATTTTTCATAGCGAAGGAAAATTTAATCAAATCATTCAGCTCCTTCCTTTAGTTTCCCATCCTGCAGCAATCACTCAAATCTGCTTCTGCTCCAGATTGTTCCCTCCTGACAAACTCAGACCACTCAGGCATTAACAGGGGGAAGCTGGAGTTTTAGCAGTGGCTTTTGCACGATGAGGAAGAGAAAGAAATTGGTTTGCTCAATAAAAAAGTCACTCTTGAACTCATGGGAGAGAAAGGCCCTGAACGCTCTCAGGGTGGATCAGTTGACAGAGCACTGAACACCCCCAGCTCCCACTTTAAGAATCAAGTTTTTAGGCATGACCTCAGTGTGGGATTGGATTTTCCTCTCGATTTCCAGGGCTTGGAGGAGCCAATCCCTCCTGGAACGCTGGGAGCAGATCTCCTGCAGCTGCTCCCTCCCAGCCTCTGGCTCCAGAAGGGGAAGGGCAGGTGCTCAGGAACGTTCCCAGCCCCACCACCCTGGACATCTTCGCTCAGCAGTCCCTGAGCTCTCACTCACAGCTCCCACCCTCCTCCCTGCTCCAGAGGCAATTCCAAGTGCAGGAAACACCCACCCAGGAGGGGAAACCCAGGGCAGCTGCCACCAAATCCCTGCAGACCCACAGGAACACAGGCATTCCCATCTCCAGAGTTAATTCCAGACTCATCATCACTGCATCTCTCCTTCCCCTGTGGCATCAGCCTGACCCCTCCACGTGGCTGAGCATCCTTGCTGTGCTGGAAGCTTCCAAACCCCATTTCCCCATTTCCAAATTTCACCATGAGCATTCCCTGTGAGCACAGACCGCTCCAGCACAGGGGTGCTTTTGGCAAGGATCAAAGTAAGGAAGAGGGAGCTGATTTTCCAGCTGGATCAGGAATCTACGGATTGTTTGTCATTCTCTGGGGTGACTGATGTCCTCCTTGCCATTCCTTTCACACACAAAACCACTTCCCTTCTCTCCAGGCCTCTGCAGTGACTCCTCCCCAGTGCTCAGGTCCCAGGTTCATCTCTGCACACCTGCACTTCCCTGGGACCCCCTCCCCAAGCTGGGGAACCTTGCTCCACTCAGCTGGAGCAGCTCTGCCCTGGCTGCCTGGAGGCTGAAACCTTCCCCCTCTGCCCAGTTCAACTGGAAAAGGACTCAGAGCTGCTGCTGGAATTCATTAAAAACAGCTGCACAGGGAGTGCAGGGCTGAGAGGAGAAGCACTGCTCTGTTGTTGTTGTTTTGTTGATTTCTCAGATGACATGCAACACCTGACTGTCCAAGAGAGCTGGGGCAGCTTGGAAAGCGCCAGGAAAACCAATAATAAAACCAATAATAAAACCAATAAACCAGGGATTGTGTTCCATGTGCACGTGAGAGCACGGGGGAAAGCTGAGCCTGTGCTGAGGGAATGGTTTTGCTGGAATTGCATTGTCCAAATAGCGTGGGACCACTGCGAGCAGAGAAACCTGAGCCCCCTCCCCAGCCCCACGTTTCATCTGGCTTTTATCACCCCCAAGCAGCCCAAAATGAGAACAAACCGGGCCCCAAACGGATTTCCCATCCTTTGGGGCCAGGGGAAGCAATCAGATCAGCCCAGCCACTGATTTTTTATTATTATTATTATTATTATTATTATTATTATTATTATTATTATTACTATTACTATTATTATTATATTTTTATTGTTATTATTGTTGTTATTGTTATCATTTCATTGTTATTATTGTTATTATTATTATTGTTGTTATTCTTATCATTATTATTGTTATCATTATTATTATTGTTTTTATTGTTATAGTTATTATTATTGTTATCATTATTGTTTTCATTATTGTCACAATAATAATAGTTATTACATATTAATTAAATATTAATTAAATAATTAAATAATTAAAATAATGAAATGATAATAACACAATAGTTACAATTATTATTATTGTTAACAATAATAATTGTTGTTATTATTATTACTGTTATTATTATTATTATCATTATTATTATTATCATTATCATTATTATTATTACTGCACCCAAAAATGCCTGCAGGAAACGCCAGGAACAGGGAAACCTGGGGAACCATTGACAAACCCGACCCTGGAGCAGCATTTCAGCACAAACCAAGGTTGGGTCCCTTGGATTAAATAATTCTGTGAATTCTCTTTCAGCAGGTTCTTGTGGAAACAGGAAAAGCAGACCCCGATGGGGGCAGGAGTGACTCAGAGATGGGAGCAAACACTCACGGAGTCGATGATCCCCTGCAGGGCTTCAAAGCCATCGTTGACTGGGAAAACGTGATCTCTGCTGTCAGCAATCCTGGCCAGCTGGCACAGGAAGAGAAACAGAAATACAGAGATCAATTAGCCAGCAAATTAAGACTTCTCCAGATTAACTCAGAAATAAAACCCTCAAATGCTTTCTCTGGGTTTGATTCAAGGGAGGTTGTTCTAAGCCAAGTGTGCTTTGACTCCTTTTCTGAAAGCTGAAAAACTCTTTCAGCCTCTACCTGTGGGCAGTGGTGCAAGTGCTGAGGTGAGAAAAATGCCAGCAGTTACTGTGTGAAATTCATCCATGGACATGCTGATACTCAAATCAGAAATTCAGGAGTCAGAGAAAACGCTGTGAAATGTTTCTCACTAACGGAGCTGTTTGATTTTTACAGCACAGCTTTCCCCTGAAGGAAAAGCTGCACCCAAGCTGAAGGGTTCTATAGAAATATTTCAGTTTTATGGGGAAAAACATCCCCACAACTCCTTCCTGCCTCCAGCTCAGGCCAGATAATTTGCTTTTCTCCCTTTGTCTTTGCCCAGAACGCAGAAACACAGCTGGCAGAAACAGCTGGGGCAAGCAGAGGGGCAGACTCAGACAGAAAGGGACCAAGAGCCAGACAGATCCTTCTGACAGGAAAGAGAGGAAAACCCCTGGAAAAGCAACCCCTGGAGAAGCCTTGAGCAGAGGATTCAGGGCTCTGAGCCCACCCAAACCCTGCCAGGCACTGGGGGCTCCCTCACCTGGGTCTCGTTGAAGTCCTTGACCCCCACACAATACACGGTGGCCCCCAGGTCCCGCGAGCGATTCGCCTGCAGCGAGAGGAGGCACAGTCACCTGTGGGGAACTCGGGATATTCAGCATTTCCCACAGCAATCCAGTCAATATGAAACTCTTCATCTGGGAACAAATCCCTTCTTCTGGAGTTTATTTTTAACTGGAGGTTTTATCCCCTCTCCTTGAAGTCTCAGCAGAGCTGAGTCAGGGGCTGCTGCTGTCAGTGGAGCTCACTTTAGATTTGTGTCTGCAGAGCACCAAAGTTTTCTCACTGGGGAAAAACCTTTTCCTTCTCTTCTGCATCCACAGCAGCAAGCCCAGACCTTTCACTGTCTCCCTGGCTGCAAATGTGGAAGTCACTCACCTCCCTCTCGGAGTAGAAAAATAGATCCTCGTGGAGCTCCCCATCTGTCAGGGCGATGATGACACTGGCAGTTCTGTAACCTGAACACACAAAATCCTCTTCAGCCCCTTGGCTTTGCTGGGGTTTGTTAAACCAGCTCAGAAAACATCCTGCCTGTGAGCACACTCCAGGGGCAGAGCTCTGCTGCTATTTCAGACCCAGAAATGAGGCTGCAGCCATCAAAAACCCAGGCAGTTTGTTCCTACTTAGCTCCTGATTTCATTCATGCTGTCAACTCAAGAAATCCAGAGGGGATTTTTCAGATTGTGATAAAAAAAGCTCAGTTTGGATTTAAATGGAGATGGTGGGAAAAGGACCTAAAATCTTCAAGATTCCTACGAAACATCATTAAACCTTGCAGCCTTCCCTTCCAAACCTAAAAAGTTTTTACATCAATCACAGGGAAGGAAAGGATGAACATTTTTCCAGTTGTCTGCACTTAGCACTGGTTTTAATAATTTCTGGTTAAANCCAGGGAAGGGTACTTGGAGGGGGTGCTTTGCTCTGGGGGTACCTTGTCTCCTGGCTGGGGACGCATCACGGACACGCGGTCGTAGCCCTTTCGCAGCAGCACCCAGAGGGCGTCCAGCTTCCCCTGCAAGGAGAGCAGACACGGGGTTTGTTATTTTCTGGGCCAAGAGCAGTGCCCAGACCCTACAGGAGCTGCCCCATCGCTTCCAGTGCCTGTAGGAGGTGCTGGAGAAGGTTTTCTCTCGCAGACACTCGCTGTGAACTCGCTGCAAGAGCAAAGGAGGAGCGCTCAGAGCTGCCAGGTGAGAGTGTCTGACCTTTCCAAAGGTGCTGTGTGACTCTGACACCTTCTGGGCCCACAGAGACACCAAAACCAGCTCCAAAACATGCAATCAGTGCAGGGAGCAGGGAGCTCCTGCAAAGCCTTCCCAAACTGTGTGGGGTGTTTGGGAGCTCTTTTGTGGTGTCTCACTAAAAATTCCCTTTCATGGGGGCAGAGTTCTTCTCTTCCCTTTCCAAGGAACCACCAAAATCCTCTCTGGGATCTCCATTCCCCCACCAGGCTGTCCAGCCAAGGCTTCAAAGCTTATTTTGGAGTTGCAGGGACACATGGGTGGAGGCAGACACGTAAAATGACTGCATGGAACTTGTTTCCGTAGCAGAAGGTGAGAGCCAGGAAAGTCTGTGACTCTGAAAAGAAGAGGCAAGAAGCTTCTCAGTCAGATTCTTCTGCATTTGGGCAGTGGAACCCCTCAGACCTGAGGGAAAACATCCCCTCTATTTCAATCCATCTTTCCCCTGCAGCAGAGCTGGTTGAAGCTCTTGATCTCCTGTCCACCCTGACAGCTTAAGAAATAAATACCTTTTTCTTCCATTTCTCCTTTAGGAAACATGACAACTTTCCATGGAACAACAAAAAAAAAAAAAAAAAAAAATTTCCCTTTTACTCTGCTGTCCTAATTTCCCAGAGCCTACCATGGTTTCTTGGGAAAAGCCAAGAGCTCCATCTTTGGGAGCCCCTGCTCTGCCTGAGAGCTGGGTGGGAGACAGGGAGTGTGCATCATGGAAAGGATGATGGCTGCAGAAACCAGATGGCAGCGGTTTCACTTGGAAACAGAAACCCTCCTGCTCTCCATGGACAGGCCGTGCCTCTGTCTGGACTCCTGCACAGCTGGAGCACCAGGTCACTTGGAGGGAAAAAAAAGAGAGGTCTGAAGGCAAATAAAGCCTGGAGCCCTGCTAGATCTGAAACCCAGAGAGAAGAAACAGTCAGGGAAACAAATGAAGGGGTTCCAGCCACGGAATTTCCTCTGAATTCACGGTAAACTCAGCTCTGCATTGGCCCTGAGTCACCTCAGAGCTCCTGAGACCTGCTGGTGGCACTTTTGGGGTCACCCCAGTGCTCCTGAGACCTGCTGGTGGCACTTTTGGAGTTACTTTTTTTTTTCCAGGGGGAAAGAGAGAAGGTGCTGGACCAGGTTTTCCAGGAGGCTCAGGTTTCTGGATCCTCTGGAAAACACCTGGGCTCCCCTGAGCGTCGCTGCCATTCCCAGCCCTGGATCTGGGGCAGCTGCAGGGTCAGGGAGCGAGGAGAGCCCAGGCACGAGGCTGCTCCTGGCTCCTGGGGCACCACCTGGAGCAGCAAAACCTCTGTTTTCCTCCAGAGAACGAGCACATCCTCATTCCCCAGCAGCACAACTCCAAACCTGCCCAGGTGAGGAGCTCCTGGTGCCCCACACGGCTCCTCCCCAGGCACAGCCACTCCAGCAGCGCTTGGGCTTTGTGGACAGATCCATCACAAGAAGAAGATCTGCAGTGCCCCCGGGCAGGGCTGGGCTCACCTTGATGGGGGAGTACCACTTGCGAGGGGACGAGGGCCGGCGCATGCTGCTCCCGAGGTTCCTGGGCTCGGGGAATTCGTATTCCTGCTCTGGCATCTTCACCCTGGCGTTCTTGGCCTTCTCCAGCTTGGCACCTTCCTCGGTGGAGCCCTTTTCTCCCCAGCGCACCTGGGAGGAGGGATCAGGATCACACACCAGGAGCCCCCGTGCTTCCCCAGCATCCAGAGCCAAGCTGAGGAGCAATGCACAGGCTCTGAGCTTTGTTCCCACGCTGCAGCCCAAAGTCTGAACTTCTCCTTCCTGGTGTTTGTGAGAAATGTGGGAGTGGGGAAGATTTTCAGGAAAACTCAAACAATTTCCTTGTAATTGTATGGCAGTGCTGCCCTGTGTCCCAGGCAGGGACCAGGATGCTGGTGCACTAGAGGACAAAGATGGTCCCAAACTTCAGAAATCTTTGGCTCTCAAATGTTCCCATACAAAAATGGCCTGGACTCAGATGCACCAAAAAAGCCTGGAGAGGTTTGTGCATCACAAAAACCTGGAGAGGTTTGTGCATCAAAAACCCCTGAGAGGTTTTTGGCTGTGTCCTGGGTGGGCTGCAGGGGGAAGCCCCTGAGCCCTGGGATTTCCTCACCTCCATCCGTTTGATGCCGCCCACTCCTCGCCCGCCGTAGTAAGAGGCATCCACTGTTGGCCACTTCTTCTTTGGCAGCCCATCATCATCTTCCTCCTGCAAAACAGCACCAAGGGGTGGCACAGGATGGAGGCAATCAGCGCTCCCAGGCTCTGCTGGACAGGCCAGGTTCTGCTCCCTCTCCTGTTGTTTTCCAGAGCATGGACACTCGTGAAAGGAAAATGTTTGCTGATATAAACACCACCACCACTTGAAAGGTACAGGCAGCTCCAGCAAGAATGAGAATTTGGGATTTTTCACCCCTTCCCTTCAGCTGGGGCCGTGCAGAGGCTGCTCGTGGCTCCCTGGGCTCTCCAGGGCCCAGGAAAATCCCCAGATCGGAGTTCAGGTCTCACAGGATGCAGAGAAAGAGCAAGAAAAGGAGTGAATTCTCTCCTGAGCGACAGCAAACTTGGGGTACCTTTGGGGACAGCGCCAGTGGCAGTGCCCAGCTTGATTGAGAAGAGCTGCCCAAGAGGAATTGGATGGAAAAGCCTCATGGAAAAGTCACAAGAATGGAATTAATTTCATTATTATTGAATATGGGCAGCTGCCCATGGGAGTCCCTGTGGCTTCAGGGAGCCAGAGAGAGCCAGGCCCTGTGTGAAAAATGAGATTTAAATTCTGTATCCTGCCCTTGCTTGCTGCAGCCACATCCCCAGGCACAGAGCTGAACGTGCTCAGCACCTCATGGTGACATCCAGATCAAGAAAATGCCCTTCAGTTTATTTAAAATGAACTAAAAAAAAAGCTCTAGTGCTAAAGCTCGAGTGAAATTCAAGGTATTTTAAATTTTCTGTTGCGCTTTGTAAGGTCAGAGCAAACACAGAGCTCTTAGAGCTCCTTTCCCTTTAATTTCTGCAGTTCAGGCTGTGAACTGGCGAAGCAGAAAAGCAGAGTTCATCAAAAACGTGAAGTATTTCCTGTGAAAAACGTGGAGAGAAAAGAAAAATGGTCCCTCTCTCATTTTTCTTCTTCTTTCTCTAATTTTTCACAGGGATTTGGCTGAACTCCAAAACTTAAGAGCTTTCCAAAACTGGAAAAGCCAAAAATACTTTGAAATTGAAACTCCCCATCAGGAAAACTGAAAAAAAACCCCAAAAAAACAAGAAAAAAATCCAGTTTTAACAGCAACCAAAAGCATTTCAGTTTATCAAAACACAGAAACTGGGCTGCAAAATGTGTCCTGACCTAAGGGAAGGGTGAATAATTGGTCACAACTACCAGGTTCTTCTCTTCAGAGCTGATCTCTTCTCTCTGGCCCCAGGCAGAGCTGCAACCCAAGAACTCAAATATCTCTGCATGAAGTTTTCCATGAGGAATTTTTTATATTTAAAAAAAAAAAAAAAAGTGGGGGGAAGCAAAGCCATCTAAATATTTTCCTTCAGCAATTCTCTTTCTCTTCAGTTCAGCACAGACTGGACTTCTCACAACAGGAAATACCAAGGTTTAGGAAATCTTCCCCAAAAGCCCTGTGAGTCCCCTTGCTGGGAGCCAGGACGAGAGCACACGCACACAGAGAGGCTCAGGGACACTCAAAAAACAAAAGAGTCACAAGTTTTCTGCAGAATGAGCCTGTTTGTGTGCTTGGAAGGGCAGGGAGGTTTTGCAATAAAAGCAAAAAGCCCCCAGCAGTGATGTCCTGCTCTTGGCTGATGTGATCACGACACACGTGGGGAAATGGGAAGGGAGAGGCACCCAAATCCCACACCCAGCACCCAAATCCCACACCCAGCACCCAAATCCCACACCCAGCACCCAGATCCCACATCCAGCACCCAAATCCTATACCCAGCACCCAAATCCCACATCCAGCACCCCAAGTGTCACACAGGGAATGGGAAGAGGCACCCAGATCCCACACCCAGCACCCCAAGTGTCACACAGGGATGAATTTTCATTCCCTGCCTGCTTCACCTGCATTTTTCCACAACGGGGCTCGCACCTGAGGAGCTCCAGCTCTGCAGGGTCAAAAACAGCCCTGGAAAATCCAAGTGCATTTAAGGATGCTGGAAACTGACTGTGCAGAACGTGGCAAATTTCCACCCCCAAAATCTGCTTTAGATGGAGCTAGAGTTGCTTTGAACAAGTCAGAAGAGGCAGGACAGAGCTGCATTTCACAGTCAGGGATCCAGATCCGTAAGTGCTGGATTGCAGAAAACAAAGATCTGTGTTTATCTCAGAGGTCTGGCCAGGCTCTGGATACTTTGACCCTGACCTGAGGGAACCTCATCTGTGGGTAACACAAGGATAATTTAGGCTCCACAAGGGACATCTGAACCACTCAGGGTAAGAATTCAAACTCAATTTGGCCAGATATTAAAAAAAAAAATCATTTTGGACAACTTCCCCCTCTCCCCACCCTTATAATTATTTTCCCAGTTGTCTCTGAATTTTGTCAGAATTCAGCATTTATAGAAACTTCTGCCTGCACCG